TTGCTGTAGAAATGGCAAAAAAAAAAAAAAAAAAAAAACAGCCACCATAAATGTAAAGGTTTTTCTAACAAGCAACCATATATTTTTAAACCGGCGATTTTTTAACGCGACTTAACAAAAAGAAAAAAAAAGAAGAAAAAATTCGCGTAAAATACGCGGATTTGGCAACTCTGATAAACACCTGTGCGTGGCACGTTCTAATTTGTATTAATGTGTCAAGGTGCGAGTGTAACGGAGGCCAGCGAGTAGGTGCTGTGCAGGTAAACCTCACTCCCCTGATCTCGAGAGACGCACTAGCGACTGACGCTAGTGGCTGCAGTCTTTAGCCTCCTCGTTAGTGCGCCGGCCTCCCATGCCAGAGACCTGGGTTGGAGACCCACTCGGAACTGAACGAGGTGTGGCGGTACAGACCCAGGGAGAGGGGTTACATTGGTGCCGTGACCCGGATGGGAGTGAGTTTTAGGGGGGTCAGTGTAACGGAGGTCAGCGGGTAGATGCTGTGCAGGTAAACCTCACTCCCCTGATCTCGAGAGATGCACTAGCGACTGACGCTAGTGGCTGCAGTCTTTAGCCTCCCATGCCGGAGACCGGGGTTCAAGACCCATTCGGAACTGAAAGAGGTGTGGCGGTACAGACCCAGGGAGAGGGGTTACATTGGTGCCGTGACCCGGATGGGAGTGAGACTTAGGGGGGTCAGTGTAACGGAGGTCAGCGGGTAGATGCTGTGCAGGTAAACCTCACTCCCCTGATCTCGAGAGACGCACTAGCGACCGACGCTAGTGGCTGTAGTCTTTAGCCTCCTTGTTAGTGCGTCCGCCTCCCATGCCGGAGACCGGAGTTCGAGACCCATTCGGAACAAGAACGAGGTGTGGCGGTGAGGACCCGGGAGAGAGGGGTTACACGAGCAAGATACATTGCGCCAAAAATCAGTTTAACCAATGGCGTGAGTTTGGGGCGGGGCTATTTGTCAGTGTGACCAATGGCAGGCGGATTGTTCCGGAAACGTTTTTGAAAACTGTCATAAATTTAGCAAATTTTGTTTGGTGATTAGTGGTGCAGAAAGTAAACAATAGTGCGCAACAATTGGTTCTGGAAGTAAAAATGCCATTTATTTTCTTCAAAGGAAAAATATTTTTAATGATAACTATTGCAGGGAGCAAATTGCGCCAAACGATAAAAATAATAATAATAATAATAATATATATATTTTTTTTTTACTTCAAATGAAAGTTTTTAATGCTGTGATTCTCCTTGTATCTGGTTGGTTTGGTTCTTATAACGCTTTAAAGAAGATTTTTTTTTAAATGAATGGAAAAAATACTTCCAGCGCTGCAGAAAATGTGGCTGGCACTAATGCCCTTGATTCATCTTGCACTGTTAATTAATTTTTTTCACTTCATGTCACCTGATGGAGTTTGGGTTCTATGCCACTGTCACATTTGGCTTGCTTAGTTAGGGTTTAAAAGACTCTTAATATTCAGTATCATTGATTTATTTATTGGAGTGTCTATTTACACTAAGTGCAAATAGCCCGTCTTGTTGGCAGAGGCTATTTACACTAACTCCTCCCACCAACGTGTGGTTGGGCTAGACAGCATAGCAAAAGACGCCTGTAAAATAACGCCTCCAGTGGAGTAGGCAGTAAAGCGCATTCCAATTACTTTTTGACGGGATCGACCAAAGTTCAAATTCGCCTTTTGCCGAACTGGTTCTTCTCCATTTTCACATCGGAAAGGCATTTATTTTCAATAAAAATTGAAGAAATAATCAAAAAGTTTAAAATAACATGCCTCACGGGTGTTTTTCTGTTAAGGTTAGGGTTAGGTGTAGGGAGGGCTTTATTGTCCCAAATCGGCATCAATTTAATAATTTTAAGAAATGTTATAATTTACACTCAATATGTTATTATTACGCACTTTTCTATAATGTACTAGGTGCAGATATCCGGCACTATCTGCACTAAGTAGTATAAACAGCATCTAATTTTACATAGTGTAAAATGAATCTATCGCTATTTGCACTGTGTAAATAGCATATCACTAAAAATACTGCTATCTGCACTTAGTGCAAATAGCCGCTGCCTTTATTTATTAAGTATATTATCGATTTGATGGTACTGACAATATCAGATGAGAATAAATTTGAACTGAATTGAGCTGAATAATTAAACTATTGTCTTATGTAGAACTTCTTTTTAACGGAATCAAATTTGTTTCATCATCGACAAATTTGAAAACATCAATGAATCAACACTGAACTGAAGTGAGCTAACCCTATTTCCAATTGAATACACAAATTACTCTGCAAGAAGAAATGACCGTGCATTGGCCTTCAGCTCAAAGCATTACTACACGTACACACAAATACACACATGCAAGTTTAGAAGTCAGTGTGATAATTGCTTCTTTGTGGTATATAAACAATATAATTTCTCATAAATGAAAATATTTCATTTCATGACCAGATACATTTAATTATATAATGTAGTTCAGTTATAAACTGAAAAATGTAGGTCTTTGAAGTCAAGAATAAATAAGTTACGAAACTGACATTAGTCATGTGTCACTCCAGTCGGGATACTGCAAAATTTAGCAATTTCAGTTTTAGCAACATAAGATATATTCAAGCTCTACCTCCAGCTCAAACTACTCTGACAGCAATGAGAAAAACACTCATACATTCCATATTCTGATTATATAAAGTTGCAGAACATGCATCTGTGTGTATTACTGCATGTGAATTGTATTCTTTTTATTTTTTTGTCTTTATTGTAATGCATGTGCCACACTGTTCTGATTATATCTGGCTGCTAATACATCACAGATGTCCCACATGGGATTAACAAAACATCTGTCTGTCTGCCTTTGCTGTGAACTTCAGCACAAATATTACATTAGACACTGATTTGAACTGCTGTTCAAATGGAGCATGTTGTTGTTTAAGGCAAAACACCCCAGGTACATGAGGTTTAAAAAAAAAATTAATTTTCCAGTCAACTGAATACATTAAGAAATGTAAATATTTTTTGTATTACAAGTTTTCTACAATTTTATGTTTAAATATGCAAATAAGGCATTATCTAATTAAATATGCACTAGTTTGCATACATTTCCAGAAGATAAATCTAAACACTGGACGAAGCAAGGTTCAAAATAATTTTTTGATTTTGCTGACATATTAGAGTTCAAGGTTTTTACAGAGGGGATTTTGCATTTCTCTTTTTATGACTCAGAAAATGACTCAGAAAAATCTGAAAATACAGTAAACATGTTTTTAGAAATAAAATGTTATAGAAATAAGTCTGAATGATATATCAACAAACCCCTCAGTAAAAATCTTCAGAATATAGATAGGAAATAAACTGTAAATTTTGGTGTATGTCAGTGCTACTGAAGTGGAGAAAAAAACTCATTTTGAGGAAACGGCAATTTAAAAAAAACATATTGTAATTGAAATCTACAGACACAAATAAATAAAGTGCAATAATAAAATCAAAAATGATATATGAACAAACCCCTCTATAAAAACCTTAAGAATATAGATAGAAATAAAACTGTAAATTCTGGTGTATGTAAGTGCTGCTGAAGTGGAGAAAAAACTTTAAAGATATGCATTGTAATTGAAATATACAGATGCAAATAGACAAAGTGCAATAAAATAAACACTTTGTATTTTGTGTGTTTCCACTTTCCACTTATTCCACTAGCCTGAAGGAAAACATGTTATGGAAGCAAAATAACAAAATTTCAAAATTGACCAGTGCATGAAAATCAATGTTTTTGTCTGTAGTGTAATGCTGAATCATGCTTAAACAATTCATATTAACTTGTACACAACCAAAGACTGTATCATTACAGTAGAGGAAAACTAAGACAATGTGCCACAATATGTAGGTCACCATAAGCCAAAGCTTTTCAGATATCCGTCACAACACACACAGTCACACAGAGCTCAGCATATACTCAGATGTGTGTTGATCAGACATCAAATAGGAACATTTGGGAATATTAAGGTCACGCGCTCTGCTTCGGCCGTTCTGGACTCTCCCCCAAAGCCAAAAGCTGCTGATTTCATTCATTTACCAACTCTGACTCTTTAAATCCATCCCAGCTTAATTCAGCAAGCACTTGATGGAATTTGTTTGATGTACTGAAGAAACTTTCAAGTAAGCTAGAAGACGTAGAGGGGAAATCTCTCCAGGGATTCAGGTTAGTGTTTAACTTGACAGATGGCTCAGTATTTAAGCATAAGAAACAAACATACCTTCACTGTAACATCTGTTGAATACATAATTAAGTAAGTGTTGCTTGTATTTGTACTAGAAGTCAAATGTTTTGGACATATCTACTCTTTTTTTATGAATAATTTCAACATTTTATAATAATAGTAAAGTGATGTCTGGTATTTATATGGTATGTATTGAGCAAAACAACTGAAACAAATGAAAACTTTCATATTTGATGAACATTTTTGTTTTCACGAAATGAAAACTTGTATTTGAGTTTAACATTCATCAGCAAACATGAATGAGGTGCATCCTGTGATGCTTTTAAACACTACTGAACATGTGCGATGAGTACAAGATGATGCTTTTACTTCACATCTGTTATGACTCATACATTTCAAACTATTTATTTTAATTAAAAT